GATAATGGCCCTGGCCTGCCATTTAGGGTCGGGTATGGCCTAGAAGGGTGTGAGCTCCGGGGGCCTCTGCAGACGACGCTGGGGACTGATAGCCCCATCACCATATTCAAGGCAGAAACATGAGAGCAGCTGATAGCCCGGGAGCATCACACCATCGGAAGATGCAGGTGCCGCACATCAGGGCTTCCCCTCCGCACCCTGCACGTTGGTTGCTAAATATTGCAGTGTTTGTTTTCTCTGGCACCGACGGTGTGTCCTAGAATTCAGTCTAATTCTGACCTCTCCGGGGTTAGTGCGGACCCCAAAAGTTACAGGCCCTCCCTCACATAGGGCCACAAGTCCAATGCCCACCACACTCTGACAAGCAGCGCTGAGGGCAGAACTTCCTTCATTTGCTCCTCAGAGTGGGTAAGGGGCTCGGATGGCCACAGAGCGAGGAAAGCAAAGTGCTTGCTATCACCAGCTTGTTAGCCAGGACATGGCCGGGGAGGAGCCGACCGTTTCTCCAGGGGACACACAGAGCGTCCTTGCCTCTCCAGGACCACTGTGTAGGGTTACTGGTGACCTCAGGCTCCAGGCCCTCTTCCCTGCCGGATGTCGTGAGTTCTAAACCTGCTCACCTGCTGCCTCCTCTGGCAGCAGCCTCCATCTCCACGCTGTCCGGGTGCCGGCAGAGCCACCTCCTTGGCACAGACTCCATTACAGCCGACAGGGCCTTCTTAGGAATACACGAAGACGCTCTCACCACGAAGGGAATGCCCAGGATTCAGGGGCCCAGGCCCAGTCAGGCGCAGAGATCAAATACTTGTTACTTCACCCCAGACGAGGAAACAGGCTGGCCACTGGTGGGCTGTCCTTTCATTTACATGACACATGTCAATTGCATACCTACTAAGATTTACTGAAATGGAGCCGCTTTGCCTTTGAGGAAGATGTGAACTGTATCTTACATTTTACGCACTTGGAAAATCTAAGCAGTCCGACAAAGCAGTGCATGCTAGGACTGGATGCACAGAAGAGTCAGTGGAGCTCAGGTTCAGAGAGCCCGAGCAGGCGGCTGGGTGGTCTGGGAAGACCCCCAAGAGGAGGCGGATTCTGATGGGGACAGAACGGCATCTACAGGAGTGACAGAGGAGAGTCTCATGCCGTGTTCTGACAGGAAGGAGAAGGAACCCGAATCTTCCCTTCATTGAGTCTCAAAGCCAGTGCAGTTCCATTCTGCACCTGATGATTTTCTCTTCTTTTTGGTGGTAAATTTGACTCCCTGCCGTGTTTGGCTCAAGACATGGGGTAGATCATGTAAACTTTTGGGCGCTAAGATTCTCATTACTAAAAGGGAGAAAAGAAGGCCAATCCTGACACGAAAGCTCCACTCTGTGATATCGCGTGAGTTCAGTAACCTCACCAGGCCTCAGTTTCCCCATATGTAACAAGCAGAAGGCAGTGTCTACTTCTGGCAAGGACAAGCAGCTCAAAGCACAGAAGGCACTGAGAAACTTCGGGTACATCCTGAGCCACTGGCAGACGCCAGCCCTTACCATTGCTTCTAAGGCATTTCCAGAGTTAGAAATGAAATGCTAGCTGAAGTGGTTAGAAGTGATTGCTTTTTAAATTTCATCGTGATTGGTATCGATCTGAATTTGTGTCTTTATGGTTTCATCACTCCTAAGGAGTCATATTGTTATCAGAATTGTGCAGTGAGAAGGGTAATTCTGGGACTGCCTTAGAAGTAATCATAAGAGCTAAGGTTTACCGACTGCTCACTAAGTGCCAGGCATAGTTGCTAAGTGCTTTGCTTGTTTTTAAGAGGCAGGCAGCAGAACCACTGAGCTAAACCCCCAGCCCATGCTTTGCTTGTTTTTAGTTGCTTGGTCCTCACATGAGCTAGGCGCTGTCTTCTAAGTTTTACCGGTGGGGAAATTGAAGTCTGAGGGGTTACTTAGCTCCCTCAGTGTCGTACAGCTGGAAGGGGTGAAGCCAGCATTTGAGCCTGGGACACTTTGACTCTCAGCTCATGCAGCATGAGCAGGGGCAGAGCCTTCCTCTCTGTGCCTCTGGAGCCTGCGTCAGTGCCCTGCACACATCGCCAGGGCTGACCATGTGTGACGCCCAGCTGCCCGTGTCCCATCTGCCCCTAGAGTTTCTCTGGAGCCAGCAAGCATGGCAAGCGGGTCTGTGCATGCAGCCACTGCAGCAGCCTCATCAGTGACAGGTGGAGCAGTGGACACGAATTCTGCCGCCTGTTGCCTCAGGGGTGGTCACAGAGCCTGTGCTCTGTGCGAGTTTCGGGGTTCTCTGGAGGTACCAACGCTGTGAGCCCGCCCCGCAGCCACTGATTCAGCGCCTTTACTGCCTGCCTTCCCCCATTTCACTCCCCACTTGCTGGACAGGTTTTCCTGCTCCTCCCAAACCACTGCCACTCAAATCTTTGCCACAGGGCCTTCTATGACACCACGTGTTTGTGTCACCCCAAAAGATACACTGAAGTCCTAACCTTGAGACAGGGTCTTACTACTTACTTCAACGTGGCCTTGAACTTACTTATGTAGCCAAGACTGGCCTTGAGCTCACAGAGATCCTCCTGCCTCAGTATCCTGAGTGCAGGGCTCACAATGTGATCTTTCAATGTAGGATCCACTGGGCAAGGTGAGGCACGCCTGTGATCCCAGCACTGTAGAGGGTCACCAGTTTGGGCTACAGAAGGAGTTCAAGGCAGCCTGAACCATGTAGGAAAACCTTGTCTCAACAAGAAGGGTCCCTGCAGCTATGCTCGGGTAATGTAGGAGGGGTCGTTTGGGTGGCCTGAGGCCCAGCGTGACCGGTGTTCTAGGGGGGAAGACGATGCGGGGTGCATGTGACCATGGAGGCGGAATCTGGGACGGTGGACAGAGGCAGGTGGAAGCCAGGAAGGTGAAGCGTGCACAGTGACACCAAGACGGAGGGAGGGTGCTGCCCGGAGTCCCAGAGAGGCCTGATTCCAACTTTGAGTTCCAGAGCTGTGAGAAGGGGGTTCTGGCTTGGGATCCTCTGCCACAGCAGCTCAAGGGAAAGGCTACAGCTCCCTGCTGAGGGCTTGATTCATCCTGAGCTGCTCTTCCAGGGGTCCCCTGTGCACCCCTCTGAGGCAAGTGTGCACACCCGCACTGGTGCTGCCTTTAGACCCTGTGCCCCTGCTGCCGTCTCTGGCTTCCTTCAGCTTTGCCAGCCTGGAGTGGATCTGTGAGGCTTCCTGGGACATGCCCGTCCCTTGACGCCTGGGCTGTTGGAGAGACTTGAGCAGCTTCTGGAGATGCTTTGGAAGCTCTAGATTTCCTGGCTGTGGTAGGAGGAGTTCATAGGGAGCGGTATGTAGTGGCTCCTTCACAGGTGTGGCGGGTGGGAGGTATCGGCTGCTCCCCTTCTCCTCTGAGCTGGTGAGGGGAAACCTTGCAGAACCCACAGGAGGGAGTTAGGTCTGCTGGGTGAACTTTCTGATCTCACAGTTGCTAAGCTGTGAGAATTGCTCTGGAGATCCGAGGAATCTTCCTAGAAATGCCTAGGCACTGTGTAAATGCCATCCTCACATAAGGGCTTTATGGAACCACCCTGAGGGGAGGAGGACCTGAAGACCCAGAGACTGGTGGGTGAAGCCCGAAAGGTAAAGCTCCAAGAAGGAAGCACTTTGTCACCTTAGCTTAGGCAGCGATCTTCCAAGTACAACAGCAGGAGCACAGTCCATTTTTAAAAACAGAAAATTGAAAACTTCTGCTCCTTGAATGACATCATCTAAGAGAAAGAAAAGCAGGCTAGAGACAGGGATGAAGTATTTACAAGGCAGATACCTGGTAGCGGGTTTTATCACCGTGACTGCCCACCATCTAATCTCCATGAACACAGGAGACAGGCCCCGGAGAACCCGCTCTCCAGCTCCCACAAACCGCTGCGTACATTTAGATTGAAATGTTACCGTGTATTTAAAATTCAGATTTATTCTACCTCCAGAAAGTCTGCAGATGGAAAAATTCAAGTGCGTTATGATTTCCTTTTGTCACATTAACTCAGTTTTTCATTAAGAACATTCTGTAATCTTGGAACTCCCCAAATATGGACTGCCAAGAGCTAGGAGGGGTTAAGGACGAATGGCTGCAGTCTTCTCGTGTGCAGATGCAGAAACCGGGGCCCACACTGGTGTGACTAGCTCGGGCTCTGTGAGGACCAGGTGCTCGTGTGCCTCCTTCCTATCACCTGGCAAGTGCCCTCTGTAGCCCTCCCCGGGCGTTGTCAGAACCAGCACAAGGCGGGGCTGGTGATTGTGTGTGGGCTCCCCAAGTCCGGCCGGCGAGCAGCTCAGCACATTGCTCCTGTGGATGGGGCGCGTGGCCTCCTGCCTGAACTGTGGAGCCCGAGAGCTGGCTGCCTCTGAGCAGCGTGAGAGCGAGCGAGCGAGTGTGGGTCCAGAGCTCTGCACCCAAGGCCATGCTGCGCAGGTCATGTGGGCAGAGTGGGGTCGAGTCGGACACTGAACATGCTCTAAGAGCTTGGATTGTTTAACCTCAGCTTCTGCACTAACTTACTGCGTACTACTGGAAAGTCTCGACCTCCCTGAACTCCAACTTTCTTGTTGGTAAAATGGACCTATTCTACCATCCAAAATGGAGCTGGTAATAGCTCCATGAGAGGGCTGTGAAACTCCACTCCATGGCACCGGGCCTGCCTCTGAGGAGACAGTAAGTGGCTGGTTTATCAGGGTGTGTCAGTTGTCATGTGGTTGCTTAAATTAGGAGAAATTGTTTTCAGGTTTCCTGCACCACACCTCCTTTCAATCTGGAAATGTCCGCCTTCTCTGTACTCTGCCTCTGCCCCTCAGTGGGTGAGGACCCATCAGGACCAGGGCGCATTTCCCTCATCCTGAGCGTCTGCTAATTGGAGGTGGCAGGACCAGGACGTGGGGTGGCTCTGCACCTCTTGCCTGCCTCTCCCCATCCCATCACCTCCCTCTCTCTCCCGTCTTCCATATTTAGGTTCTGAAAAGCCGGAGGAACGGACCGATCTGGATGGCTTCCCCCGACAGGAGGGAGGGTGCCCGGCCCCCGAGCCCTGGCTGGGACCCGAAGCAGAGCGGGGCCTGTCCGGCCCAGGAGCAGGCAGCCCGCCAGCCGGCCATGCTAAGGAAGGCGCAGGAGTTCTTCCAGACCTGTGACCCAGAGGGCAAGGGCTTCATTGCCAGGAGCGACATGCAGGTACGCAGGGTCTGGGCCTCCACCCAGAGCCCCGGGTGACAGGGGACCCCATGGTTGACATGCTTCACAGAAAGGACACATCCGTCCTGCCTGAAGAAGCCCTTGGCCCTGGGGGCCAGTTCTCCTGGCTCCCTTCCCCGTCTGGCCTTTGCCTGCTGTCCGTCTTGGAACGTTTCACCTCTCTGGCTCAGTGGCCCCCCAAGAGCTGTGGGAAATGGTGAGGGAAACACAAGGAGTTCATTTGATGAGGCGAAGAGGCTCCTGAAACCACGGGCCACAGGTATTGACTTGCTGCTCCCTGGTGACGCTGGGCCCTGATGACGTCACTTCTGCTGTGTGGGGGAGGAGGGGAGAGTGTCGCTGCCATGCTGGAGCAAGGCGTTTCTGGAGCTCACTCGCCTGCCTCAGCCCCGGAAGCAGGGCACGGAGGGACAGCAGGGCCTCAGCGTGCTTCGAAGCCTGGTCCCTGGTGCTGTGTTCCTAGGAAACCTCACTGCGGGTTGACATTTGAATTCTAGAATTTCACGGACCAGCAGATACTCCTCTGCTTTTGCTATTTCTTCAATCATTTGAAAACAGGAAAGCCGTTCGTTGCTCACTGACTGTGAGAAAACACTCCTAGCGGGCTTAGTCCACAGGCCTAGTTTGCCCTCCCTGGCCTGTGATGCTTACCTCAGCTGTCAGAACCTTCCTCCTCCAGTCTTAGCTGCAGTCTTGGGTCACTTGTGTGTGAGTGAGTGAGAGTCTTGCAGGCCCCTGAGGTGCTAGGACAGCAACTCTCCCCGCAGCCTTTCCACCATGTGCTCTGTCAGGAGAGGGCTTTTTGGACAGATGTGGACCTGTGCTGTTAGAAGAAGACTTGCAATGGTCAGGTTTTCTCTTTCTTTTTCTGCTTTTTTGTTTGGTATTTGTAATACCAGGGATTCAACCTAGGATCTTTGCCCTGAGTTACCTCCCCAGCCCTTTATTTTGATACAGGGTCTCGCTAAGTTGCCCAGGCTGGGCTAGAACTGCAATCCTCCTGCCTCAGCCTCCCAGAGCGCTGGGATGACACTCGTGTGCTCGCACACCAAGCTAGGTTTTCATTCTTTAAGTTTAGCTTCTCAGTGTACACCGGGTTGGACAATGGAATGAGCACCCTCTTTAAGGCTGCCTCCTCACCCTGGGCCCGCAGAATGGCTTGCGTGTTCTCCCTGGGTTGTGCCACCACCCATCACTGCAGGAACGGAGGGAAGAGACAGAGGGAGCAGCACTGGCTCGGCCACCCCAGTTTTCAGCAGTGGACTCCCCACTGAGTTTCTGTCGCCAAAACCCATCCCGTACCCCTGCAGGCTGTGCCCAGGCCGGGCTCCAGCTGTTAGAGGAAACCTTTGACAGACCTCTGCCTGTGAGGCCCTCACTCCTTCCCAGGTCGCAGCAGCAGTGCTTGGTGGGTGGCTTCTGTCTGTCGTGGGCCTGTCTGCCTGTGGAGCCAGGAGTAGAGCCCAGAGCCTCCCACGTGCTAGGCACACGCACGGCCCTGAGCTGCAGCCCAGGTCCCTGCAGGCTTAGCTTTCGACCCCCCAAAAAAGCAGAGCAAACTCATGCTTAGGGAGCTCAGCTCCCTGCTGCCTGCACTGTGTGGCTCAGCCCTCTCGCTGACTGTCCCAGTTCCCTCTCCCAGACCTTTAAAGAAGGAAGAGACCTGCCGATTTTAAGCGGTCAGGCCCACATTTTTAGAGCAGTTGCTTGGATTTGGCTTGGAATGCAGTCAGAAGCATGAAGGCCCAGGAGGCCAGCTCACCTCCCTTCCTCCTCAGTCTTCCTCCTCCCAGGTAGGAGGAAGGGGACAAGGGAACCACCACGAAGAGGCAACTGGCACGTATTTCCACCGTTTGATGCTCTGGAGTTTTGCTCTCTCTGTGAGCTATGGGGCACTTGAAGTCTTCTTTTCTTCAGGCCGAGAAAGTATTTTCAAGAGTTCCGAGCACGCTGTCTAAGCGCTGCCCCTCTGGTCTCTTCCGGCGGCCGTGTCTGCAGGAAGAGATGCTGGGGAAGAGCAGTCCTCTCACAGCCCACCCGGCTCTCGGGGAAAGTGCGGTGGCCCGCGGTGGCCCGGGCAGCCCTCCTGGTGCGGTGCGGCGCACAGCTACTGTGCGAACAGCGCCCCACCCCGCGCACAGGGGCTCCTGCACACCCCCGCTTCCTGGCCCTCAGCCCCAGGCAGCCTCATGGGGCCGGTGGGGAGCTGGCTCTGTCCTGTGAGGCTGTGGGCGCGTGGGAGGGTGAGTGCAGAGAAGAGGAGGAGAAATCCTGGCAGTTGTCTTAAGAAAGAATGAGAGAGGCACGCTCCTCCCCGGGGGCTCTTTTCCTTCCTTCCTTCTTTCTTTCTCTTTTTTTTTTGCTTCAAATAGAAAATATTTATTACACAAAAAAGTAATAACTGACAAACTACCAATATGTTGAACTTAGAAAAAGTACTAAGCTATTTCGTAACTCTTTAAAAAAAAAAACTTTTTTATTATTCAAGCTAACTTACTTCCAAGTTAAAAAAGTTACAAAATTTTGGTTTAAAAAATGCTTCTCTATGACTGCCTCGAGTTATTTTGCTATGCGATGACAAAAAGTATCTTTGAAATGCTTTGGGTATTTAAATGGATGTTTGTTACATAAATTTATATAAATAACTTTTATATCAGTAACAGGCCAACATATAGCCTCCCTAAACACCCTTTTAGTAGAAACAGGAACCATTAATGATGCAGAATAAAACTTACAATACCTCTCAATTTACATACAGCACAATAAGAAATCTGACTACCCTAGTGATATTTAAAGAATATGGTTAGTCACGCTCTCCTGGTATTACTGAATATGCTAGTACTCTCATCAAATGAATAGTACTTCCATTACCTCATATTTTCCTCTATATTCCTTGTCTCCAGGTTGGAATAGCCCTGTGTGGGATATGTAGAAGTGGCCCAGAGCCTGTTGGTCCTATGCTTTTGGTTCATTCTTCTCAACCTTTGGTAGATTTGTAAAGCCTAGAGGGATCTCTACTAACATTATTTTCAACCTTTTCCTTTAATTTTGCCAATCTTCTTTGTTTTTCTGCCTTTTCCTCTTCTTTTGCTTGCCTATCTAGAATTTTCAATTCAAGTTTATATAAATCTCTTTCTTGAAACCTGGAAATTTCATCAGCAACAGTTTTCCTTTTTTCTGCCTTTTCTCTTATCTCTTTTTCAAGCCTCAAAAATTCTTCTTGTTCTTCTGCTGGGTATAACTTTCTAATAGTAATTTTAGTTTAAGCTGGCGTTGGCGTTCTTTTTGCTGCTTTTTCTTTTTCTCTTCCTCTTCTTTTAACCTAGAAGCATATTTCATTGACAGTTCTGTACTTTTCTGTTTTTTCCAAGCTTCAACTGCCAACTTCTGTTTCTTTCTTTCTTCCTCTTTTTGCTTTTGATTACCTTCTGGTTTATTATGAAAAAGCACAGGAATATCGTCTGCCTTCTCTTTTAACTTGAAAATTTCTTGCTTCTTTTGCTGCTTTTTAGTTTTCCAATTCTGAATAGACTTTTTTTCTTTCTTCTAGAGTCAGAAATTTCTGATACCATTTCTCATGCTGTTGAACTTCATCCTGTGTTCTTCCCGGGAAGTGTTCTCTAGAACTTCTTTCATAAATGCAGGCTTCCCTTTATGTTTATTTCTCACTTTTATAAAGGTCTGGTGGTCATAACTATCCCAGCCCCCCTGTTGCCCTCCTGTTTGCTGCAGGAATTTTTCAAAATCTACCACTGCTGCTGGAAGAGTATTGGGTGTCATTTTGTCTACAGAAACTTTACTTGAGATTGCTCTGAATACTTTCTCTGTTTCTGAATTACCCACAGCTCATGTGTCAATTTTTCTTGATATGGCACTCAATTCATTATTTGTTGCTTTTTCTTCTTTAATAAGCTCATTGTATATCAGTCTTTGTTCTTCTTTAAGTGTTGATTGCATTTTCAATTTCTTACATCATTTCTCTGAGCTTTTCAACAAAATCAGGTGTAGGCTTCACATCTTTTAAGTGACGCTGAAGTTTCTTTACATCGTTATGTATTTTGGCTAATTGTTGCTAGATGTTTGCTCTTTCCATTTTCCTGCTGTTAATCAATTTATTTTCCAATTCTTCCAGCATACTGTGCTCAATTCTGAAGTCATTTTTTTGATTGTAGAAATGACTGTGTTTATCTTTCTCTATAATAATAACTTGATTTTTAAAGTTTTCTGCTGTGCGTATGAATTCTGCTTTGTTCCACTAACTTTCCGCTGCCAGTTCTGAAGTTGAAAAGTATGAATTCCACCTGAAGCACTAAAATAGCCGTCATTCTGTCGCGTCGCCGGCGTCGCTGCCGCTCCCACGCTGGTCCCCGCGGTCGCGCCAGCCCCAGTCACCGCCCCAGCGACCGCGTCAGGGCGGCCATGTTTCCTCACCAAGTCGCTTCGGGGGCAGAGACCAGGCGGGTCTGGGGGTTCGCGCCAGAGCAACTCCCCCGGGTCTCGCCAACAGGTCTGGGAGGAGCGGCCAGCTGGGGTCCAGGAGCGCGGGGCGGGGCGAGGCGAGGGGCGGGGCGGGGAGAGGGGCGGAGCCTGGTGTAGGTTGGAGGGCAGAAGGGCGGGGCCGCCGGGGGAGGGGTGGGGCGGGGCGAGCTCTTTCTTAAACAAAGGAAAATGTTTGCCTACAGCGAGACGCAGTCCTCCTGGAGGTGGGGGGTCAGAGCCTATCTCAGGCCGAAGCCTTGCCGGATATCGCGGGAGGAAGCAGGGAAAAGCCAGAGGAGCCGGGTTTGGGGGTCACATAAAACTGATACTCATGCCCATGTGTTTTGGTGAGGGAGGTGGAACGCAGGGCCACACACAATCTAGGCAAGACCCTACCCCCTGAGCTGTACCCTACCCTAGTCCTGGGTATTTTAAAAGTCGGGTCCCTGGTGGCGCCCTGGAGGAGCAGAAGTGGGTGGCCATGTGCTGGGGTCCCCCTG